TCCCTGGAGATGGGAGCTCAAGTGTAGGCCCAAGAGCAGGTGGCCTAGAGGGCTGGGTTGTGGGAGGCCTCAGGATTTGGGGGTKSTGGARSYCAGGCCAGATAGACCCTCAGTGCTGCCTCCTCTCCCCTAGGAATTCGACCACCACTGCAGGTGGGTAAACAACTGTGTGGGGCACCGCAACATCAGGCTCTACATGCTGCTCCTCCTCTCATTGTGCCTCTACTCGGGTGCTGTGCTGGCTAGCTGTGTGGTATTCCTGGTACACAGAAGGAACATACCCTTCATGGACCGAGCCCTAACSTATCCACACAGTCCCAAGGGCCCACACTAGGACCAGCTCTGGTGGAGGGGAGAGAGAGGCTGACAGCCAAAGGGCTGGGTAACCGAAGGCGGGGATGACTAGGCTGGGCTAGAGGGAGAAGACAGTTGAGAGGACCCTTGAAGGATACGTTGAAGTCCAGTGAGATTGGAGCAGGATGGCCTGTGGAGTTGAGAATCCAGGGGGGCACTGAGTTGGGTAATGAAGGTTGAAAAGGGACAGGAGGGACCACAGTGTGGTGCCATGAGGTTCAGCTTGCGTGTACTGGACTAAATGTCCAGTCCAGGGAGGAAGAGCAGGTGGGCTTGGCTAGGTGGGGCGCGACAGGGAGGGATGAGTTGGTGGCAAGGCGGGGCCAGGGAGGAACTGTCCCCTGGCTTGTSTTCTTAGCCTGTGCACAGCTTCATTGTGGCTGTATTTTCCACTGGCTTCCTGCTGCCATTCATCCTGCAGCTGCTCATCAAGACCAGGGCACTGAGCACTGCAAGGTGCCCCTATGAGGACCAGGTAAGTTGGATCAGTGTGTGTGCGCTGATATCTGGCTAGGAAGTGACATCTTGCACCTCTGCCACTAGGCACTATCTGTACTTTCTCCACTGCCCTTGGCCCTGATGGTTCCCCTGAGTCCTTCCAGACCCACCTCGTAAGATGCAGCTCAGATCTCTCCTCCCCATGGAGCTGGGTGGCCATGCTCCCTCTTAGGTGCATTGCATTGAAAACCTACTGTGAGCTAGGCTGTGTGTTATTTGAGAGATGGGTATAGAGGTGAGTAAGTACATCCTGCCCTTGTGTGGATAAGCAGCTTGCAATCAGAATGACACCAGCTGACACTCAGGAACACTCGAAGAGATGGTGTTGGTCCTGAGTGTTGTAGCAGACAGGAAGAAACTGGGAGTTTGGCGAGGCATGTGCTGAGAATGTGCTAGAACATGCCACTCTGTGTGACCTAGGTGTGATTTTGGATTGGCAGAAGGCCAGATGGCATTGCCTGTGAGAGGCACACCTATGCAAAAAAGTTATGGAAACAGGGAAGTAGGATGTTAATAGAATGATGAAGAAATGGATCTAATTGAAGCATAAGGTGGCATGGGCAATGAGGTTAACCCATAGGGTCAAAATTAGAAAGGCCCAGAAAATAAATCTTGGAATTTAGTTTTGATGAAGTACAAACCTGGAAGCCATGGTAAAATTTTGTAAAGATGTCATTTATTGAGGAATAATTTGCAAACAAATTTCCTTTTTAGACTATAGTTTGGGAATTTGACAAATGCATACCATTGAGTACTCCTCACCATGATCAAGGTTAAACCAGTTTCATTATCCAGAAAACCCTTTCATCTCTTGTCAATTTCTCTCCCTACATCCTTGTGGGTTTTCGCTTTCCAGAATCATGTATAAGTGGAGTTGTGGCTTTTTAAATCTGGTTTCATTCATTTAACACAACACATTTGAAATTCATCTATGTTGTTGGTCATTTTCTTCATAGCATCTCCAAAGAGCAGGAGTTCTTAGTGGTGTTGTTTTTCCAGTAATGGGGATTGATTCAGGGGTGCCCGACCACGGAGTTTCTTCCCCAGCAGTTGTTATTGTTGTTTTTCACTCTACATGGAACATCATGTCACCTGTGAGGAGCAGTTTCATTACGTTCTTTCCAATCTCTGAGTCTTTATTGCTTTATCTTTTGAGTGTGGAACAGGAATGAGAAGGGTGGTCATGACGGCCTCGGGACAACTTTAGTATGACAACAACTCCTCTAAAGGCTCCTTAAGGAAGACAGGTGGGCAGTACCAATGGGGAAAGGGGAAAGCTGCAGACCCAGGGACAGCTGAGAAGACAGAGGAGCCTGTGGGCTCAGCACTTCCCATCCTTAGTCACCCTTTCACCACAGCCATATMTGGTCCCCTCCCCMCTGTGACTCCTCTGCTTAGCCCTTACTCCTCAGCCCTGTGGCCTGCCCTCCTCCTCCTCTCTCCAGCTTCAGTTCATCATTTAGTTTCCCTGGCRGCATTTTCCCTTCCCCCATCCTGTGGTTCTTCTAGCTCTAGGTCAGGCCTTAGGCCATTGCCCTTCCTCCTCTGCTCTGCTCATAATGAGGCCCTCCATGTCCAGATTGCCTAGTCTCAAGGGACCTAAATGTGGCCTGCACTCTGGGATTCACCAGACAGGGCTCCTTTCCATTACCTGCAGCACCTGAAATAGGCACTAATTCCATGCTCCAACTTCCAGTCCCTTCCCTACTCCATTCCCTGACCAGAGCTCCTCCTAGAGCTGTGAGCTGGGTTGCCTACATGGGTCCCATGATACCCTCTTGCTGCATTACCTTGGCCACTCCCCAAGGTGCCCAGGGCCTCATGTTGAAGCTGCTGTTAGCACCCTGAGAGTAGGGTGGCCATGCTGTTTAGTGTGTTTTCAACACCTGCTGTAGTAACTGGAGTTTATTTTTTTGCACCCAGGGGCACTATACCTCTGAGCTACATCCTCAGTCGCTTCCATTTTTTATTTTGAAAAGGGGTCTCACTAAATTGCTGAGGCTGGTCTCGAACTTGTGATCCTTCTGCCTCAGCGTCCTGAGTCACTGGGATTGCAGGCATATACTAAGATGTCTGGTTTGACTGAGGCATTTTTGATGCCCTGAAATATTTCTGGCTGGAGTTTATCTGAGTGTAGAGCATGTACTTTGGATGCACAAGGCCCTGGACTCTTCAATTCCCAGCATACAAAGAAAATATTTAAATAAATGAGTGAACCAACAAACAAAAGAATCAACATTTGAGATGGAAGAAAAGAGATAAAGGAAGAGAGAATCCTGATGCCCTGAGCCCCCAACTTCAGGGGAAGAAGCAGAAGGAGCACAAAGTTGGGCAGAAGATAAACAACTAGAAGATACCACTTGATTTTGGTCCTGTTGATTGTGAGGTCTTTTGAGACACAGAATGTGATCAGGAGCTCAGGAGTGGAACCAGCATGAGAGACTGCTCTGCCTGCCTCAGAATTGTTTGATTCTCTTCATGTCTGATAGTATTCCCTGGGGTGGTGGTGGGGGGCAGTAATTGAAATTTAGTGCTCAGTTCTTAAAAATGTATTATCATTCCTTTCAACATTTTTCTATACATTTTGTGCAATCCACTTTTTCTATATTTTATCCATATTTAATTAAACTTTTTTCTCTAAATTTAAAAACTTGGTATTTTTTAATACTCTGCCTTTTTTTCCAGCAAGAAATATTACTTTAATGCAAAGGATTTATTCTTTCCTACATGGTGGGTATTATAACATTCCCTGGGAATACAGATATGAATAAAGTATGTTCACTCCTCTCAAAAAATGAATAGACTGGTGGTGGGAAGTAGATGTTTAATTACAATAATAACTACAAAGAGAAAGCCTTTTTTATAAGGCTTGTCTTAATTGATTCTTATAGTCCCTCACCCTCTTATCTGCTATATGTCTTTTTTCTCTTCTTTTAAATTTTATTACATGAGTATTATTATTATTATTATTATTATTATTATTATTGCCTTACATTTCTTAATACACCTTTATACCACAATTTACCATATATCTGTATACAGATTATGTTGACACCAAATTCACGTCTTCATACATGTATTTTGTATAACAATGAGGGTCTCATTCCACCATCCATGCAATTCCCCTTCTCCCTCCCTTTCCCTTCCACCCCTCTTCCCTATCTAGAGGTAATCTTCTTCCCATGCTCTTCCTCCCTACCCCATTTTCCCATTTTGAGTCACCCCCTTATATCAGAGAAGACATTCAGCATTTGTTTTTTTGGGGATTGGCTAACTTCACTTAGCATAATCTGCTGTAATGCCATCCATTAATTAATTTATTTTTTCTGGTAGTACAGTTTGAACTCAGGAGTGCTTTACAACTGAAGTTACATCCACAATTCTTGATATATCGTGTTTGAGATAGGGTCTCACTAAGTTACTGTGGGCCTTGCTAAGTTGTTGAGGCTGGCCTTGAACTTGTGATCCTCCTGCTTCAGCCTCCCAAGTAACTGGGATTACAGGGATGCACCACTAGGCCTGGCAGGATATTAATTTCTTTAGTGCTGTGACCACCTTAAAGGAGGCAGAACTTCATAAAGCATGATGGTTCGTGTTGCTGTTTGGACGCATTCCAGAGGTGTTCTGATGTGGAATCCTCTTTCCTTCTTGAGCAGAATAGTGTTGAAAACCACTGTTTTCATGTGTGAGCAATGGAAAGTTGGGGGTGGACAGAGGTGCTGCTGGGCCATTTCCCATTGTTCCAGAATATTTGCTAGCTAAAGCTCTTGAGGTAGGGGTGAGACTCAACCAGGTCTTGGAGCAGGAGGGGATGAGGCTGATAGATAAAGTCAAGGGAAAGAGAAAATAGAATAAGGGAGAGTAGAATCCAGTCCAGGGGAGGACTTGACTTTGAGCTTGCTGTTTTCTGCTTTGAGTATTGAAGGCCTTCAGCCCAGGTTTTCCTGGACCATCTAATTTGTGACTAGGAAAATATGATTGGGTTTTCCTGCTAATACTGCCTTTTCAAATAGTGAGATTCAATGAAGGTACATTTTTAGAAAAAATCAAGAGGTGAGAAAGCAAAGTGGGAGCAGGATGGAGACACCATCTTTGCATCAGTTGAGCAGAGCAGCACTAGAAATGTCTTGAAAGGTATCTGGAAGGACATGGCGGGAGGACATGTATGGCCAATGGACATAAAGCAAGGATGTGGCAAAGGGAGGTAAAAGGTGATGAGGGAGCCCTGAGAAGGCAGGAGATGTGGGTGCAGTGTCAGCACTGGTCTGAAGAGAGCTGCTCACAAGTGGGTCAAGGGAAATCACTCTTCCTATGAGCCTGGGAAGGTGGGAGGCCCTGGGTCACTCTTGGRCTCCCCTGCTGTTGAAGTCTTGCCACAGGCCTGGGTTGAGTCCTGGATTAACTGACCACCTTAGGGAGGGTCACTGGGAGATGGCCTTGCCCAGTCTTGCTGATTCTGAGCTCCTCTTTCCATCCCCATCTCCCTCCAGCCTGACAATCCCTTTGACCAAGGCTGCTTCAAAAATTGTTACATCCAGATGTGTATGCCACTGGGACCCAAGTAAGTTGCTAAACCAGGGGCTCAAATGGTCGATCCTGGGGTTGGTATGGTGGGTGAAGCTGGGTCATTTTCCTGTAGTCCTTTACCCCAGCTCCCAGGCCATGACACTCATGTTCCTTTCCTTTGGGGTTTCTACAGGGAACTCTGGGAGCTTCTGGGAGTTTTACTCTTCATTGCCTTTAGAGGTTCTTGCCCCCCCAAATGGAGGGGAACTGCAGCCTAGATGAGGCCAAGGTGGACAGTGACCCCTTACATTTGGCCTCTTGTTCCACAGGTACATGTCAGAAACTGTGAGTCTCCAGATAGAGCTGGGGACTGAATTGGAGCCAACAGAGGTATCCCCCCCAGCACAACATTCCATAGAGATCCCTGGGCCCAGGTCTCCAACCCAGGGTCCCCCAAGGGGTGTTGAGGCTGCACCTTTACAGGAGGTAAGGAGTAGTGGGTGTGCATTGAAACAGAGGGTGCCTGTGGGCTGTGCATGTATTAGAAGAAGCCATTCAGATTGGGCTGTCCCTGAAGCTGATGCCCTTGGAGCATAAGGAGTGGGATTGTGGACCTGGTACCTGGTCAAGATCACAGGGCTTCAGAGCATAGGAACGTGTCCCTGGAYAGACAAACAGAAAAAAATGGAAGCACTTTCTGATTGGCTTTGGGCCAGTCCCTTACCTTTCTAGACCCTATTTTTCTAAGCTATTACTGAGGACTGAGACTAGGGTAATAGTTGATGCTTTAAAGAAGATTCTAATTTTTTAATGGAAATATTTACTTGATGTACCATGTGAAACATTGGAGTGAAGCATTAGGAGTGCAGTGGGGTGGGTAATATATAGTGCCCTCCCCCCCATGGGCCCTGGTGTTGACTTGTGTTCCAGCCGTTTCTTTGTTTTGYGTCCAGACACCCAGGGACATGACTCTGAACCATGAGGTGGACATTATGGAGAACCCCTATGTTCTGACACTGTGTTTAACTTCCCATCAGTTCAGTGCTGTAGTGGGAGGCCCTAGGAGAGGCTTGGCCTCCCATTCATGCTTAACACCCCGCAATGCAAGGATGTGCACCAGAAGTTCATCTCCTGAGCCTCACATGGGGGCCTCTCGTGCCTGAGTCCTCATTCACTCTCCTGGTGAGAATGCCAAGACCCCATGACTGTTATATACTCAGGATTTTTCTTGTCCCTAGGGCTACTCTGCCTGTCTGCCCTAGATTCAGAGAAGCATGTTTCCTGGGAGTGGGGGAAATGTCTGGGGGGATGGAACAAATCCCTCCTGGAAGGGAAGGTCATTGCTTCCTGGAGACCCAAGCTCCTGAACCAATACTGCCTGACTCTTTGACCTTGGACCAGACATTTAGCATTTMTCTGATCCTAAAAATGTGGCAACAGTAATAATTGCAGTGACTGACCATTTTGCCTTCCTGGCAAGGGCTGGAGAGGAGAGGAGCGAACACCCAACAGCCTGAATAATACCAAGTGCACCTGAAACTATTCCATAAAATAGAAAGGGAACTTACTTATTATTAGTTCTAATAGGCTAGTATATTAGTCATAAATTACAAAGTTTCAGTTAAACATGAGTAAGCGTTAGAGAGATGATGGTCAGTATGGTAGCTGCAATGAATGTAAGGCATATTTGAAAACTGACAATAGAGTTGGGTGCAGGGGTGCACATCTACAAGCCCAGCTACWCAGGAGGCTGAAGCAGAAGGATCACAAGTTGAGGATCATTAACTTAAAAGAGAATTGTTTTGTTTCTCCAAATGAAAACTAAAGCAAACCTTAAAAGTCCTGGGGATGTAAGTCAATGGGAAAACACCCTTCGATTCAATCCTCTGCAGTGAAAAAGAAAAGATAAATTGACAATCAGTTTTGTAGGATTTTTGTTTGTTTGAGATGGGGATCCACTATGTTGACCAGGCTAGTCTTGAGCACTTATGATCACGCAATCCTCATATATAAATGTCCTRCGTGCTGGAAGGCAGGTGTGTGCTACTGTACTAGCTAGAAAGTAGATTTTAAACTAGGTTTGGTTAATTCCAGCACCTCAGGAAACTGAGGCAGGAGGAGCACAAGTTTTAAACTAACCTCGGCAATTTAGCAAGACTCAGTCTCAAAATAAAAAAGGGCTGGGGTTATAGATCAGTGGTAGAATGTCCTTGGGTCAACCACTCAGTACTGTAAAATATACGTACACATATATGTATACATATTCCATATATATATATATATATATATATACCATTGTGTAATGGATTTGGACAGTTGTTTAGATTTCTGCTTTTGGGCTACTAATATGAATAAGGATAAAAACTTGTAGCTTTGAGCATGCTAGGCAAGAGCTCAAACCATTGAGCCCCACGAACATCCCTATGTATAAATTTGGGAAATTTTCTCACTATTGGTTATCAGAGTACAGCACTTCCCACCCCCCCCTTTTGTTTTGAGCCTTTGGTGGGGATTCCTGTGATGCTCAGACTGGTCCCATATTTTTTGGCTGAAGTGTTTCTCCTGCTTCTGCCTTGTGAGCAGGTGGGAGTACAGGTACATGCCACCACACTTGGCTGTAAAATCTCATATTGATAAGACACTTTACATATTACAGGACATCCAGAATAAAAAAACAGCAATTTAAGATGACTGAGCATAGTGACATGCCTATCATCCCAGCAGCTCAGGAAGCAGAGACAGAAGGATCATAAGTTTGAGACCAACCTAGGCAGTTCAGTAAAACAGTATCTCAAAATAAAAAGGGTTGAGAATGTATCTCCGTTTTATAATATTCCTGCCTTCAATTCCCACTAATGCAAAAAAATGATAATAATAAAATTAAAAATTGGAACATAAAAGCTTGATTTGGTGACACATGCCTGCAGTTTCAACTATTCTGCACACTGATGCACAAGGATCTCCTTGAGTTTGAGTTTGAGACAAGCCTGGATAAAATGGTGAGACATTATGTCTCAAAAAACAATAAAATAATAATAAAAATAGTAACAATTGGTGAAGCCAGGCACTGTGGCTCACACCTGTAATCCCAATGACCTCGGAGGTTGAGGTAGGATGATCACAGTTTTGAGGCAGGCATTGGGATCTTAACAAGGCTCCTGTCTCTAAATTTACAAAAGAATCAGGGGACAGGGATGAAGCTCGGTGATAAAGCACCTCTGGACCTCTGGATTCAATCCCTGTTACAGAGGATGGGGGATGAAACAAACTAATTTGACTYCATAACATTAAAATCTTGGGACTGGAGGTATAACTTATGGTAGTGCTTAGCATGTGCCTAGAGTGCTTGTGGACCTAGGTTCAATCCCAAACAACAACAACAACAAAAATAAAAACCAAATAAATTAAAATAAAATCTTTATGTATATATCCCAAGTCACAAATGAATTTGCTAGTTGAACCTTTATRTCTTTTGACTCCAAAATGCAATTTTTAACAAGTGTGTAGAACAGCATAGATTAAGGATTTTGTCTCATTATTTAGATAGCAAAAAGTAGCAAAATATCAACTTAAATGTCATTAGCGGTAAATTGGTTAAAATATGGCATGACCATGTAATGGACTACTAGACCATTTTGAATGGATTTAGGGGGAAAATACTGTAATGTGTTGCTTGGCACAATGGAGCATGACTATAATCCCAGCAGTTTGGGAGGCTCAAATAGGAGGATATCATGTTCAAAGCCAGACTCAGCAACTGAGCTAGACCCTAAGCAATTTAGTGAGATCCTGTCTTAAAAATTAAAAAGGGCTGGGGATGTGTCTTAGTGGTTGAGTGCCCCTGAGTTCAATCCTTGGTTTCTCACTCTTCAAAAAGCTATGAAACAGAAAACACTGTATAAGTTAGGTTCCTAGTTTAGAAGCCCTACTTACATTTTTTATTTCCTGAAATGATGAAGTTGGAATGGGACTGCCTTCCTGTGTTCTGTATTTGTCTAAAGCCTAGATCAGACCCAGACATAAGCAAGCACCCTTTATCCTACGTGTTGTACCCTGACTTTTGCTCTTGGATTAAGCCATTTAAATTAGGAGCCACTGTGATGGGTGAATAACAGGAAGACATACAGGTTTTACACTTGTCCCTCTCTTCCGCAAAAAACCTAGCGCTCCATTCCCAGTACTCTGTTTTGTTTTTTCCTGCTCATTTGCAAAATAGATACAGAAAAGTAGACCGTTTAAAATATAGTCAAATCTAAAATTACGTATATTGGTTTGTTTCTTGTATTTTGGTATTTATCTCTGAAAATTTATTTTAATAGAGCAATTCAAACCATAATACATTTATTAATTTCTCTTTATTTTAGGGTATGCCAGAGCAACRGGCTCAATTGGTACAGATCTCCAGTATCACCAAACTAGAGCAAAAGGAGAATCCTCAAGCTCTTCTGGATGTCTTAAAGTTCTATGACTCCAACACAATACAGCAGAAYAATCTAAGTTTTACTTCTCCTGGTAAGACATCAGATAGTGGTAAAAGACTGAATCACATGGAAAATTGTGAAGGACTGCAAAAGAAAAAGATTATTTCTGAAAAAATAAAARGCTAAGCTACATTTTTGATTCCTACTTTCTCCTACATAGATTCTGCTTTTTGTAAACTGGTTGATCTTGAACATCATTTGAAGTCTAAGAATTACATTGATCTCATAGTTTTGTTAGAAATGGAATTGGATGTTTTAAATTTTTTTCCATAATTTTTATACATTATAATTAAAATGATAGTGGGATTTACACTTGTAATATGTTGTTACCTTTATTTGSAGTTTTTTTCTTCCTCATTTCTTTAAATGATTTCAGTTCAGTAGGAAAAAGTCTGGATTTATAGGCATGTTTATGCTAGAGATATGTTTATTGTCAGTGGTGTAAAATGAAGTTTTGCTATATAAATGCATTCACCTTGGAGTAAAAAAAAAGTTTTTCTACTCAAAAATGAACTAAAAGGATCTATACCTCAGAATTGGAATATCTTTGGGTAAGAATTGGAAAATAATGGATTTTCTTTAAAAAAAAATAGCTTGTTTAAATCAGCATCRGAATCAAATTCATGTGTTTCAGTTACTTTAGCAATCTCTGGGATGTCTTTTGAGATATASATTCCCCTTCTCCACACTGGTTCTCATGCTTTCTCTTCCTTGCATTGTRCTTTAAAGATGCAAGATCCTTTGTCCTGTTTATCTCAGTGTAGATTTTGCCAATTACATCTCCCAGTGTTTCTTTTATTTAATGTGTTTCTCTGTCTCTAAAGTCATATRTCTAGTTTCTAAAAATAATATAATGAAGGGATGGGGTTTTAGCTCAGTGGTAGAGCACTTACCTGGCATATGTGAGTTTGATTCTCAGAACCACATAAAAATAAAGTAAAATACAGCTCTTGTATCCACCTACAACTTAAAAATATGAATATGTGTCTTGAATTAATTGTATTTTATATGTTTCCATCATCACAGAATCAAAGGTTGTGTTCAAAGAAGAAGTAGACTTCTTTGCCAAGTAATACTGATCCTGACCTTTTTTACTTTAATCTGGTATCCTTAGGAAATCAAYTCAGGTTTTATCCTTAGACTTTTACCTAAAACTTTTGGTGTCAACTAATAAGTAATTTACATTTTAGAAAAAAAACTTATGTTAAAAATAATGCTTTTTACATATGCCATGTTTGGTGACTTTATATCCCCTTGTTCCTTGGTAGGCAATTCACTGGAGAGAGTATCTTAAACAATGAATGTTTTATTTTAATACAGATTTATGGGTATAGTTTCCATTACATTTTGGGGGGTGGGGTGGGGTAGGCCCTGGAGATTAAACTCAGTGGCACTCAACCACTGAGCCACATCTCCAGCCCCATTTTGTATTTTATTTAGAGACAAGATCTCACTGAGTGGCTTAGTACCTCACTAAATTGCTGAGGCTGCCTTTGAACTCAAGATTCCCCTGCCTCAGCTTGCTGAGCCAATGAGATTACAGGGGTGTGCCACCACACCAGGCCTCCTTTACATTTTATTAACTTTATTGAGGTAAATTCTGCAGACCATAAAATTCAGCCATTTTAAGGATCAATTCAGGTTTTATAAAATGTATTTTTAAGGTTTCATTATGATTATAGCGTTAATAGCTGAGTTTCTTTTGAATGATATCAAGGCTTTCAGAGAAATGTAGAAATGAGAAATAAAATAAGTAATCTGAACAAGAGAAAAGATCCAAGTTTTGGGTGGGGTTTGTACTGGAGATTGAACTCAGTGGCACACAATCACTGAGCCACATCAGGCAGGGGATCTTGAGTTCAAAGCCAGCCTCAGCAATTTAGTGAGGTGCTAAGCCACTCAGTGAGATCTTGTCTCTAAATAAAATACAAAATGGGGCTAGAGATGTGGCTCAGTKGTTGAGTACAATCTCCATTGCTCACCCTACCCATTCAAAATAGATAGTCTTAAACTATCATTTATATTACTCTTACTGTCTTTTTGTAAAGAGGATTTAAAGTGAAATCAGTTTAAGAAATTTCATTGCTCCTCTTTTATGATATTTTTCTTTCTTTCATGAATTATTATCATTCTTTTTTTTTCATATTCAGAGAAGGATGCCTTCCTTTCTGGAGCACCAGTAGTAAGTTAAAAATGGATTTCTTATACTTTTTGCTCTAATTTAGGTTCCTGAAAACAAATCTGTTTTTATCTTGCTTTCTAAAATAAATTCAGCCMTCAGAGGTAAGTACTTATTTAATATATTTCTAAAGAGTATTTATCAAATACATTTGATAAATATCAAGAAGAGTTATCAAATACATTTATTTCATGTATTTACTTTTCCATATTTTATAAAATCACCTTTATTTTTAATTTTATATTRGATCCAGTGAGGTTTAATCATTTAAAAATTAGCTGTTAAAAAATAGCTTCTTAAAGTATGTTTATAAATAGAGAGCTGTTCACATTTTAACCTTTTAATTTTACTGGCTTCTCTTCTTTTGCTCGTGTGATGAATGCAGCTGAATACCAATGGCTCAGAAACATTAGCAGTAATAACAGAGGAAGTTTATAGTGATGAAGAGGCCACCCCTCCTGTCATTGGCCCAAAACCAGATCATACAAAATCAGTGAGTGATTGGTTAATGACCCATGTGCTTATCTGTGCATGTGTGTTTCTGAAAACAGCTGTTTGTTTTTGACTTTCAGTGGTAATTTCAAATAGCCTTCAAATTTAAAATATTTTAGTATGAGAAAATTAATTCAAGATGAAATTAAGATTTTTACCTAAAGAGGACTCATCAAAAACTTACTCTTTTCAAAAATAAAAATCTAATGGTCTCTTTAAAAGTTAGAATACTTAACTTACTAGGTTTTTGCTTTCTGTATTTTTCCCTCTTTTCCAGAAAAGTGATCTCTTTCTCTGGTTTTTCTGTTTCATAATGTGGATAACTATTATACCTACAACTTGGATCTTTCCTCTTGTCCAGATTACATATTTTATTTCTCATTTCTACATTTYTCTGAAAGCCTTGATGTCATTCAAAAGACAGATGAGCATGAAATTTCTCACCAGCTAAAGAGAATTTTGATAGTAATGACCTCAGATGGAGCCAGGAAGGAAGAACTACTAAAGAAACTTGCAGGGGACTGTGATGTGGTGGCACACAGTGCATTGCACAGGCAGAACTTTGAGGACTGCTATGGGATCCTCATCTCATGATGGATGGCTATGTTTTTTTTTTCATTCCTTACAATTGGCTTGTTTAGGTGAAAGGGAGGGTAGGCATTATATTTGTGTAAAATGTTTTGTGAAAATTAGTAACAGTTATCTCAACATCAAGGTTTCTCATTTTTGCATTTTATCTTTTTGAATTAAAAAATTATTTTTGAAGTGTGCTACTGTTTTACTATGTTGTTATACTATTTTTTTWAATTTTCTTACATTTAAAAWATGTWTTTAGTTGTAGATGGACACAATTATTTTACCTATTTATTTGTTTTGTTCTGTGKTGTTGAGGATCAACCTAGTACMTCACATGTGCTAGGCAAGCACTCTACCCTGTTATACTATTTTGGAYCTGGGCACACATAAATTTTATTTATGGGCCTGCGATTTTGGCAGTTAAACTTTTTTTTTTTAGCATTGTGAATTGAAGCCATGGGCACTTAACCACTGAGCCACATTCTTATTTCCGACCCCTACCTTTTTTTTTTTTTTTTTTAATTTTCAGACAAGACCTCACTAAATTGCTTTGGGCCTCATTAAAAGCCACTGAGGCTGGCTTTGAACTTGGAATCCTCCTATCTCACTCTCTCAAGCCACTGGGATTACAGGCACACACCACTGTATGCAGCTGCTAGTTACACTTTTAAATTCATTCATGCTATGGCAAAAAAAAAAAAAAAAGGTCTCACATTTTCTTTTAATACATGTTTTTTAGTACTGTGTGTCCTTTAGAACAATAAGTGAGATAACTTAGTTTTGGTTAAAAATTAAGGAACTGAATAGTGTGTCAGTAAGAATATCTGAAAATAATGAACTATATCTCTGTAGATTTCCACACAGTCTGTAACTGACCCTATTCCTATACCTCTTGGTGATTCAAATGTTGACAATGGTGCCAAGTCTTCAGAAAAACAGAAAAAGAAGACAAATTTGACTGACTAAGAGATTATGGAGCAATTAAGTATGTTACCTTCATTTCATATTATTCATGAATTAATATTTCTTAAAACAATTGGCCCAAGTCTGGGGATATGGTTCAGTAGTAGAGCACTTACCTAGTGTGTACGAGGCCCTTGGTTCTATCTCCTGCACTGCAAAAAAGAAAAGAAAATATCCAGTTGGATTGTAATATATGCCTTTTATTTTACCTTAAGTCAGAAAAAAAATCGTTTCCCTATAGGAGTAATTACTTCCATTAAAATGTAGTGAGCTGGGCATGGTGGCACATGGCTATAAGCCCAGTAATTTAGAAAATTGAGGCAGAGGATTTCAAGTTCAAGGTCAGTCTTGGTAACTTAGTGAGACCTTGCCTGAAAATAAAATATAAAATGGGCTGGGGATATAGCTCAGGGGTAAAGTGCCCCTGGATTTAACCCCCAGTACCACCCCAAAACAGTAATATTTATTTTGTTTGTCACGGCATTTGAAATGTAGTATGTATTCATAGTGAAGTCAGTCTCTTTGGGAGCAAAACTTCTTTCCTATGAACCAAATTTCAAGGATATGTACATGGGTGTAGTTGGAAATCTTATCAAAGAGGTTTGTATATATTTGTCCAAACTGACAGCTTTTCAAAATAGAAATTGGTAGTAACCGGATATATCCCAAGGAAAAACATGTTTTCCTTGTCTCTTTTAATTCATTTACTGTCAGTGGCCTGAATCCAGGATTATAAATAATGTAAACAGTTCCATGAAGGGGTAACAATAAGGTCTGTTTACAAGGCTCCAGTAAGTATAAAGAACAATGTGAGGGCTGGGGATGTGGCTCAAGCGGTAGCGCACTCACCTGGCATGCGTGCGGCCCGGGTTCAATCCACAGCACCACACACAAAACAAAGATGTTGTTTCCGCCAATAACTAAAAAATAAATATTAAAAAAGAGAACAATGTGACCTAGAAGGCTCAAGGAAAAATACTTTATACGTGGGCTCCTACAAGCACCTACATGCTCAACATTTAATTGTTCTTAATTCCTCGGTGCTTTCCAATATGAAACTGCTTTGACTGTGGTATCCTATATATATTTGTATATAATATTCCTTCTCTTAGGAGGGCTGCTGCTATAAAAAACCCTGAATATTATTTTGACTATTCATTTGTTACCATAGTTATCACATCCCATATCTTTATGCCCTTAGGTTCTTGGCTGGCACCTTAGTAGCTAATTTGAGATTAAGAACCTACGTAAGATTATTCATGGGAGTTTCCTTGATATTGTCCATGTCTTCTTTGGTCTTGAGTAAGTAAAAATTTAATGTGATTTTCTTATGTTCTGACTTACTGGTCATAAGAATTTACATTATGTTTTTATATCCAGCCTCCTAATTTTAGCATTTCTTGGCCTTGATGTTGAACATTCCTAAAATAGGTACAGGATTAATTCTTATTAGAGTAATCTCTACAGTAGGAGGTGGTTTACTAAATATATTGAAAGGAGATATACTGAAATAGTCAGAAAACCAATTAGAGTTATTCATTTGGCTATCATTTATTACTACTGATYCAGTTTCATAGCTTATCACTAGTGTTAAGACAGGCACTGGAGAAGAAAAATAGGGTGAGGAATTTCCCATGAATTGCCAAGTTTTTGTTTATTCCTATTCTTGGGGTTGAACCCAGGATTACTTTACCACTGAGCTATACCCCAACCCTTTTTATTTTTTGGTTTGAGACAGGATCTCACTGAGTTTCCAAGACTGGTCTCCAGCTTGTGATTCTTTTGCCTCAGCTCCTGAATAACTGGAATTACAGGCACATGCCACCACATCCTGCTGGAATTGCCATTTCTTCAGTGTTTTGTTTGAAACAAATTATTGTTGAAACTTGATGTGTTTGAAAACCACTGTTTTAAAATCAGTAGAGTTTATTAAGAAGGTTTAATGATACCAAAATTAATTTGTCTTTAAAATGCTTGAGTGAGCTTTTAATGTTTTGTTGTTATTGTTCTTTAAAATAGGAACTATTGTGAGCATTGGTGACCCTAATACAAAATATACAAAATATGAAAAAATTGGACAAGGGTAAGTATTTCTGATTGTATTGTCATATTGTTCACTATTTACTAGGTATTCAGCATGAGCTCTCTTTTTCCCCCTGACACTGAGCGCTCACTGTATTCTATGAGTGGTACCTTATTGGATTTGTGTAAATACATAATGCAGTTATTAAAAACTCAAAACTCCTACTTGTTAGCAATGACTTTATATCATTGCTTCTTCTTGAATGTTATTTCTCATAGATGGCAAAGGATTATGAGATGGAAAAATTGCTCATGATATATTTAAGAAACAATTTTATTGCAGGGTGATAGGCCATAAGTCATTGATTTGGGGCTGGTATGTAGTTCAGTGTAGAGCATTTGCCTAGGATACATGAGGTCCGCGGTTCCATCCCTTGAGTTGCAAACAACAAAAGCAAAGCAAAAACCCATGCATTTAGCTTGTATGGTGGTACACACCTATTATCCCAGCAACTCAGAAGGCTGAGTTAGGAGAATTGCAAGTTTTCAGCCAGTCTCAAGAATTTARTTAGATCCTGAGGTAAATAGGACTAAGGAGTTAGCTCAGTGGTAAGGCACCCTGGGATCAATCCTTACTACTAAAAAATAGATAAATACATAAAATGGTCTTGAATACTATCATTGAGTATTGATCTTTGAGTCTGCCTTTCTGATTTTGTTCAACAATTTTTTTAAAGTATACTAAGCTCTTTCCTCTATTGCTTGAGAGCAATGTTATTAATCTCTAGAAAGCATTCTGTGAATTTAGAATGAATTAGTAGAATGTAGAATGAGAACTTTTGGAAACTTGCTTATAAATTTCCACCACTGAGCTGCCTCCCCAGCCCTTGTATAGGCATGGGCCACCATACTCAGCCAGATCAATTTTAAAAAGCAAATTGCAGAGAAATACATAAACAGAAACTTCATGGTTTAAAGTATAGAAAAGTCCATGGAAATGATGCACATCAAATACAGGATAAACACCAAATACAGGTTGCCTTTGAGTGGAGGGGGAATGCCATAAGATAGGACATACCAAGAAMCTTCAAGTTTATTTGTAGTTTCTTGTTTCTTTATCAGGGAACTGTATTCATGAGTGTGTTGCATTCATTCTTTACCTTTTACTCCTATATTTTTGTAGGTCTGAAATATTTCAAATAAAAGTTCTGGCTACAAGGATTGCCTACTCCTTTCCCTTTCTTTCTTTCTTTCTTTTTTATTGTTGTTTTTAAGATGCTAAACCTTAAGTGTTCTTTGATCCTTTTTCAATTGTGAGAAGGGCAAAGTCTTTGGATATTATAAATGGCTATGATTTAGACATCATAATTCTGACTGTGTCTTTTTCCCCTAGGTTTTCTGGCACAGTTTTTATTGCGATTCATGTGGCTCTGGGTCAAAAGGTAGCAACGTTTTTCATACTTCTAGATGTGTATATTAGATTTTTGTTTAGGAGAAAAACTAGATAAAGCTAAGCAAAATCAATAAGAATATATTTTTAAGTTGGATATGTTGTAAGAATTAAGCTAGGTAATTTTATAACCATTCTCACATTAGGGGGAACAAATAAGGAATCATGTCATGAATATGCAAGTATTTAAAAAATATTTTTCCAGGTTGGAGTGAAAAGAGGATGAATTCCTGGCACTGGGCTGAGCTTAGGTTGGCTAATCAACTTCAAGAAAAATTAGAAAATATTTAGGTCTGGGTAGTATAAAACACTGTATATAGTCAGTGTGCAAGTAAAAATATTACTTTGTCAGTTATAATCTCATAATTTCACTATATAATAAATATCATGTGGTACTATAAATTCTTAACTGGTTGRTGTTTGTTACTTCCTGAGAGATGAGGAAAATCATTGATTTGTTTTTCAATTCCGTTTCCATTATAGGTTGCTATTAAACAGATTAATTTACAGAAACACCCACAGAAGGAACTGATCCTTAATGAGCTTTTGGTGATGAAAGAATTAAAGAATCCTAACATAATWCACTTCTTAGACAGGTAAATATGTTTGAGATTCTTATCACTGGGATAAAAACATGGAAATTTGTATTCTGGTGGTTCAATGGAGGCTAGCCACTTTGAACTGAGAAGTTAACTTAAAAGAGAAAGAGAAGAGGTGAAAATAGAATATTCCAAATCAGAAGGTCCTTTTGCTACAAGGATATTATTTGGCTGCTGAGAGAAGGCAGGCTAAATGAAGGACATTGTTGATGGTGTGTATATTCATGCAAATGATCAGAAGCARAAACATTAAAGAATGATTAGCTGAGATTCATGTCTTAACCCACAGAAGTGACTACACACAATTCTTAAATGTTTAGATCAGTTTTTATATCAAATGCTGTTCTTTGTAGGCAAATTGTACATGTTTATAAGACACTCCTGTAGGCCAGGTATGATAGTGTAAGCCTGTAACCCAAGTGACTAGAGAGGCTGGGGCAGGAGGATCATGAGTTCAAAGTCAGCCTCCATAATTTAGCAAGGGCCTAAGCAACTCAGTGAGACCCTGTCACTAAATAAAATACAAAATAGGGCTGGGAATGTAGTTCAGTGTCTGAGTGTCCCTGAGTTCAATCCATGGTACAACTCATGAAGTTTACAAATTGATTTWWWAAAAAAAATGATAGAATGAAAAATCAAGTATAAAATTCAATATTCTACAAAAGTGGTTACACACATGAATGAAAAAATGATACTAGTGGTTATGTTATAGGGTTACAGGTTATTTTCTCCCATATATAAATTTGTTTAGAGTGAGGAATTGGTAATATATTTTGAGATTTTTAGACCTATTATTGGATATGCATTCATGGAAATACATTTTCAGGTACATTTATTTGCTTTTTAAAATAATATTTCAAGTCAGCATGGAATGCTGGTTAAAATAAGCCATAGGCCTTGGAATCATTAGAACTTGACTTTAGAAGCTGATCTGTCACTTATTATGTGATCTTAGATTAATTACTACTTAATCTCTCCAGCCTCTGTCTCTATATTTGCAAAACAAGACCAATAATCTCTGCATTATAGGGTTACTTTGGTTGGAAAACTTCAAAATATACGCCTAGACTACTGTTATGGGCAATCCATGAAGTAAAAATCATAATGAATATCATAATGACCCTCATCATTTTTTGTGATGTTACATATTAACTTTCCAGTTTTCTTGTTTATTCTCAAAACTACCATCTCTGTCATTTTATTATTATGGTGCTTAACATTTGCACTCTTGAACATAGAGTGTCATATGTTCAAAGAAATAGAATGTCAGTTTTGTATGTTCTATTTTTAGTTACCTGGTAGGAGATGACTTGTTTATAGTTACAGAGTACCTTGCTGGTCGACAACTGACTGATGTTGTTACAGCAACTTGCATGAATGAGGCACAGATTGCTGCTGTGTGCAGAGAGATGAGTTTGTTTCATCAGGATAAAGTAGGATGATGTGGGGTTAGCAAGAGATGCCTAAAAGGAAGGTTTTCCTACAAGGGGAATTGTACACATTCTCTGCGAGTTATCCCATATTATTTCACCTCAGATGAGAGTGCCAGTCTTTCATATATAGGATACCTTTGGAATGAGTTATGGCACTTTTAAAATTTTTTTTGTAGTATTGGGGATTGAGTCTAGTTTGCTGTACCACCGAGTTACATCCTTAGCCCTTTTTATTATTATTATTATTATTATTATTATTATTATTATTATTTATTTTGAGACAGACTTAAAAGATGTCTAGGATGGCCTGGAACATGTGATCCTCCTATTTTTGCCTCTGGTATAGCTGGGGTTACACACATTGCTGGTTAAGACTTTGAAGAATGAAATTCACCAGCAAATCTCCTCATAGTCATCATAATAGTTTATCATCYAGATAGGGCACTTCTGAGAATAGATTGGGGCACTTTAAAAATATTCCACTCAGCCAGGTGTGGTGGTGCATGTCTGTAATCCCAGTGACTCAGAAGGCTGAGACAGGAGGACTGAAAGTTCAAGGTCAGCCTCAGCAACTTAGCAAGGCCCTAAGCAACTTAATGAGACTCTATCTTAAAATTAAAAATAAAACCTGCTGGAGATTTAGCTCAGAAGTAAAGTTTCTTCATCCTAAAACCCCAGTATCTTTCCTCTTGCACCCTCCCCTGCCTCCTGAAAATTGGGAACTAAAATTATCACAGAAAAAGCAAGACACGTGTCTAACTTTAATATCAGTAAGTCTGCTTCTAGATTCATTGAAGGTGAAGAAATTGATCGTTTCTTTATATTTTTAAATGGATTTCCAGATGTTCTGTTTCCTATGGCTAGTAGAATTTTCCAAATTACCTAAGTCTGAATCAAAAACAAGTGTTCCACCTGTCCATCTGTAACTTTTTCTAAAGAGGAGACTTAGGTTACTAGTTTGCTCATTATCATTGAAACTGATATTATGCTCTCCTGATGTCACAGGGATCATTGTCATAATGAGGAACTATTGTATAATACACAGTGAATTATAAACTTGTATACTACATAGTGAATTATTTTTATTCAGGTAAAATTCTTGAAAATTTAATTCTAAGTTGTGTTCCACCTAAGAAGGAAGGAAATAAGAACTTTTCATAGTTCTGAATATTATGTCCATTAACAAAGTAGGTTTGTTCATCTAAAAACTAATCAAAACTTAACAAGAATTTATCTATTTAGACTTAATTTATTTTTTTCATAGTTGATATAAAATCAGTTTCAGGAATTATTCTAACTGCATTCACTTGGGTCTTTTCTGTGCCAAAATTTTTAAATTGTGACAAGTTAATTTCTACTTATTTGTACAATACTTTTCTATCTATTCTTCTCAACAATCTGATTAAATGCCTCTAAATAAAATATGATCATAATATATATATATATGTATATATATCAGGTTTTTCTTTGTATAATAGTAGAATATTTTGAATAATAATTTTAGTAGTTACAAATAATGTGCAGACTTTGTTGTTCTATTCTGATGGGAATAGGAATAAAAATACTACAACTTTTCCCAAGTGTATGACTTATCCTTTCAGTTTATATTAAAAAAACCATGGGGCAAAGAATTTTTTAAAATCTCGTTCTCGTTTTTAAGGAAGGGAGGAATTTATTTTTATTTTTCTCTTTGAAATATTTTTAGTTGTAGATGGACATAATAACTATATTTATTTTTAATTGTGGTGGCTTTGTTTGTTTCAGTTCTGGGGAACAGACTTAGGGCCTCGCACATGCTAGACAAGTGCTCTACCACTGAACTCTACCAGTAGCAATATTCTTTCATTTTTGATGTCTGATTGTGGATAGAGCTTGACATAAAATTTACCAGAGAAGAAACGAAGAAGACATAGTACATTACATTGATGAACCCCTGAATGCAACAAGACCACCCTCTATCTTACCTGCTTTTCTCAGTGGCTCACATTGATTAGACTTCTGGGTACCTGAGGTTTCAACTGCAAATAACCACAAGTTTATTCTCTACTATTGAAATAATCTCTAAATAACTTATGCTTATTTACCTGCTGTGTACTATTAAGCATTTAAGCCTGAAAAGGCCTAGAAGTATATGGATTTATCTAGTATTTTATAAGAAAGACCATTGAA